CCATCAGTGGTAGTGAAAGTTGGATGTGGTTGGCCTGGAGGTAAGTGATGATGTGGGCCTGAACCACAGCGTAGACGATCGACATTCCTATCTAGGTAAGTGATGGTGTGTCCACACGCTTCTTATTATCACAACTTTTTTCCAGGTTGTCAGGTAAGAAATTACAGAGACCTTAAAAATCTAGCAACCAAGTTATCCTATAGTTTTTATTATTTTTAAAGAAATTTTTCATTGAAGTATAGGTGATTTTCAGTATTGTGTTTCAGATGTACAGCAAAGTGATTCAGTTATACCTATATATACTTTGTATTCCTTCTTTGACTTTTTTCCATTATAGTTTATTGGACAGTATTGAATATAGCTCCCTGTGCTGTACAGTAAACCCTTGTTGTTTATCTTCCTGTAGTCTTATATTTTAGAAAAATTGACCTTTAAGTGAAAGATTGTTAAATGACTTGCAGAAATCCATACAATTCTCATAGAGGTATGAGTCACAGTAGTCACCAAGGTTTTATGTGGAGTACATTCAGGAGATAATGATGTCTCTAACAGTGGGACCTTGGAGTATAGCAAGACTGCAGGTAGATTCGATGAATCCTGCAGTGTGGTCATGACAAGGTTATTTTCAAGATCCATGTAATAAAGTTGTGTCCATGGACCCATTAGTCACAATGTGTTTTCCAGGTTCCTCTCTACAGATCATGGTGAACCTCATGATGATCATGAACAGGACATGGCTTGTATGTAGGTAAGTGATGATGTGGCCCGTTCGCATGTGACAGGCCTTCGAATCTTCAGCTATCTAGGGAGTGTGGATAGTGTTCCTAACTGTTGAGTCTCCATGATTTTTTGCAGGTATTTAGGTAAGAAATGATAGTGTCTTTAACTAGTCTAGAGACCATGAATCTTCACTTTTTATATTTTAGAGAAAATTTATATTTAACACTGATAATGCTCTGGGGTTGCTGGCATACAGGTATTTATTATGGTTTTCCCTACCACAGGACTACCCATAGGATTTTTACTGGTATCCAGTCAAGAAACTGGTTTTGCAACACTGGTGTTGACCTTGGATGGCTGCAAGGATCCAGGTAGAGTTGATGTGTCTCCTAATGATGAAGTGACCAAGGTCATTTGCAGGTGTCCTGGTAGAGAAAGTTGTGTCCTTTAATATATTTTTCATAACATCTCTTTCAGGTTTCCTTCCAGAGATCACAGTGAACCTACCATTGATCAGTAAGAGGGACATGGCTGGTGTGCAGGTAAGTGACGATGTGGGCGGAAACCACAGCACAGGCCTCTCATCTCCAGATGACCACGTATGTTTTGCTGTGTCCTCACGCTTGTTACCATGATTTCCTTGCAGGTTTCAGGTAGGAAATGATGGATCCCTTACCCCTTCTAGCAACCAGGAGTTTTCCCTTATTATATATTAGAGAAAATTTTTGTTTGTGAGTGTTGACTGATTTCACATAACCAAGTAATTAGCATGATGTTCCCAGCCATGGTGGTGACTGTGGAAATTTTGCACATGTCCCATTAAGAAATGTCAGCTCACCTGAGAATATTCCTGACTTGGACACTGCCAGTATTCAGTTAGAATTGATGTGCTCATCATGTTGAAAGCAATGAATGTTACTTACAAGTATCCTGGTAGAATAAGTTGCCATCCTTTTGCATATATCACAATGTATGTTTCAGGTTCCTGTCAAGAGACTGTGGGGAACTTGACAGTGGTTGTGATCAGAGACGTTTCTGGTCTCCAGGTAAGTGATGATGTGTTCCTCTTTTACCGTAGCATTTTGGGGTGAGGTTTTCTGGTAAGAAATGATAGTGTTCCACCAATTCTAGAAACCATGTTATCCTCCTGTTTTAAAATTTTAAAAAAATTTGTGTCGCTCTCGAGCATCTTGCAGATATCCACGTAATTCTCAGAGAGCTGTGAGTCCCAGTAGTAAGCGTGGTTTTCCATTGCAGGTGAGCGTTCAGGAGATCATAGTGTGTTTAACAATGGCCTAGACCTTGGAGTACTACAAGATTCCAGGTAGATTTGATGAGTCCTTCAGTGATGTTAGTGATGGGGTTATCTTCAGGGTCCAGGTAGTAAAAGTGTGTCCATAAACACGTTTGTCACTATGTGTCTTCCAGGTTCCTGCCCGGAGGTCGTGGTGAACCTCGTAATGATGTTAAAGGACATGGCTTGCATCCAGGTAAGTGATGATGTGGTCCTTTTACACTCGACAGATGACCTGATCTTTGGCTATTTAGGTAAGTGTGGATAGCATTCCTACCTGTTGTGTTGCCATGCTTTTTTACAGATATTCAAGTAAGAAATGATGTTGTCCCAATCAGTGCTAGTAAACATTAGCCCTTATGATTTTAGAGTTTAAATACAGTGTTGTGTTTTTCCTTAGTCGTGAGGGAGGGATATGTAGGTATCTGGGTAAGTTATCATTTTGTTCCTCTTTTTTTCTTTACCATGGCTTTTTGCAGTTGTCTTGTCAAATACAGGATTATGTCTCTAACTAGGGTGTCATCCTTGAACTTTTGCAGGTTTCGAGGTAGATTTGATGGAATTTTGCCAGATATTCAGGTAATCCATGTATTCCAAATTCATTATTTACCATAGTCTTTATAATAGCCAATCAAGAGATGATGGTGGGCCTTAAGCACATCATCTCTTAACTGGACACCAACAAAATGCATAGTTAAATATTATTATTAGTAGAGTCATCATCTCTTTTCTTTATCTTAATTATCTCAGTTTTTATTTTTTTATTTTTTTTAACATTTTTTATTGAGTTATAGTCATTTTACAATGTTGTGTCCAATTCCAGTATAGAGCACAATTTTTCAGTTATACATGAACATACATATATTCGTTGTCACATTTTTTTTTGCTGTGACCTACTACAAGATCTTGTATACATTTCCCTGTGCTATACAGTATAATCTTGTTTATCTATTCTGCATATGCCTGTCAGTATCTACAAATTTTGAACTTCCAGTCTGTCCTTTCCCACCCCGCTCCCCCTTGGCAGCCACAAGTTTGTATTCTATGTCTATGAGTCTGTTTCTGTTTTGTATTTATGTTTTTGTTTTGTTTTGTTTTGTTTTGTTTTTAAGATTCCACATACGAGTGATCTCATGTGGTATTTTTCTTTCTCTTTCTGGCTTACTTCACTTAGAATGACTTTCTCCAGGGACATCCATGTTGCTGCAAATGGCATTATGTTGTCATTTTTATGGCTGAATAGTATTCCATTGTATAAATATACCACATCTTCTTTATCCAGTCATCTGTTGATGGACATTTAGGCTGTTTCTGTGTCTTAGCTATTGTAAATAGTGCTCCTATGGACACTGGGGTGCAGGTGTCATCCTGAAGAAGAGTTCCTTCTGGATGCATGCCCAGGAGCAGGATTCCTGGGTCATATGGTAAGTCTATTCCTAGTCTTTTGAGGAATCTCCATACTGTTTTCCACAGTGACTGCACCAAACTGCATTCCCACCAGCAGTGTAGGAGGGTTCCCTTTACTCCACAGCCTCTTCAGCATTTGTCATTTGTGGACTTTTGAATGATGGCCATTCTGACTGGTGTGAGGTGATACCTCATCATAGTTTTGATTTGCATTTCTCTGATAGTGATATTGAGCATTTTTTAATGTGCTTATTGATCATTTGTATGTCTTCCTTGGAGAATTGCTTGTTTAGGTCTTCTGCCCATTTTTGGATTGAGTTGTTTGTTTTATTCTTATTAAGTCATATGAGCTGCTTATATATTCTGGAGATCACGCCTTTGTTGGTTTCATTGTTTGCAAAAATTTTCTCCCATTCCATAGGTTGTCTTTTTGTTTTACTTATGGTTTCCTTTGCTGTGCAGAAGCTTATAAGTTTGATTAGGTCCCATTTGTTTATTCTTGCTTTTATTTCTATTGCTTGGGTAGACTGCCCTAAGAGAACATTTTTGAGATGTATGTGAGATAATGTTTTGCCTATGTTTTCTTCTAGGAGGTTTATTGTATCTTATCTTATGTTTAAGTCTTTGATCCATTCTGAGTTTATTTTGTGTATTATCTCAGTTTTTAAGTGTGTTTATTTTTATTACAGTATAGTTGATTTACAATGTTGTATTAGTTTCAGATGTACAGCAAAGTGATTCAGTTATGCATATACATATATATTCTTTTTCACCTTCTTTTCTATTATAGGTTATTACAAGGTATTGAATATAGTTCCCTGTGCTATATATAGTAGGTCCTTGCTGTTTATCTGTTTTATGTGTAATAGTGTGTATATGTTACCCAAATTCCTAATTTATCCCTCTCCCACCACTTTCCCCTTTGGTAACTTTAGTTTGTTTTCTATGTCTATGAGTCTATTTCTGTTTTGTAAATAAGTTGATTTGTACCTTTGTTTTTAGATTCCACATGTAAGTAATATTATATTTGTCTTCCTCCATCTGACTTCACTGAATGATCATCTCTAAGTCCATCTGTGTTGTGAGTCATCATCTCTTGATTGGTATTTTTGCAGATGTCTACTCAAAAGGAGATGATATCTCTATCTAAGTGCTTGACCCTGCTTTTTGCAAGTATCTGGGTAGATTTTATGGTTCCATTTAAGTCTGTAGTGCTTATAGGATTTTCAGGTGTCCAGATTGTAGATTTGTTCTTAAACACTGTTGTCTCTTTGGTTGTTGTAGATTCCAATTAAGAGGTTATTGAGAACCTCCATATGGTATTGAAGGCCAAATTTTACTTGTCTCCAAGTGCAAGGTGATGCTTGTACCAAAGTTAGAGGTCATGAAATTTTGCAGACATCCAGGCAGGCAAGGATTGTGTCCTTAAGCCAGCATAGTGACCATGTTTATTTGCAAGTATTCTTTAAGTTGTGTTGACTAACTACCACAGTGATCAGGGGATTTTGCAGATATCCTGTCACGCTACGAATGTGTCTGTAACTGTGTTTTCCTGAAATTTGCTGGCAAAAGTTAATGGTGTTCCTAATCAAGATAATGACCTTGAAATTTTACAGATATCCAGGCAAGATATGACATGTCCCTGCTGTGATCTTTTCTTTTTTTTTTTTTTTTTTTTGAGGTTGGAGGGCAGGTAATTAGTTTTCTTTTGTTTTTTTTTTTTAAATTTTAAAAAAAAATTTTAATGGAGGTACTGGGGATTGAACGTAGGACTTCACGCATGCTGAGCACGCACTCTACCACTGAGCTATCTCCTCCCCACCCACTGTGATCTTGATCCTCAGCCTTACCTGAATACCTTTCAGATTAATGGTGGTATTTGTCTAATTACATTAATGACCAAAGGTTTTTGCTGATATGCAGGCAGAAGATGACTGTGTCTGTATCTGCAGCACTGCCCTTTGACTTTTGCTTGTATCCAGGTAAGTTGTTCTGTCCCTTACCGGGCTAGTGATGGCCTTGGGATATTTTATTTGTCCAGGTAAAGAGTGATGTGTCCTTAGCCATGTTAGTGACCCTGGGATTTTACAGATATCCAGGTAAGAAATCATGTGTCCACAGCTATATTATTTATCCTCACATTTTTAGGTATTCTGGGAAGAGATGGTGGTGTTCGTAACTACACTAATGGCCATAGGATTTTGCAGATACCCAGTCAAGAGATAATGGCATCTCCATCAACACTGGTGTCCATGGGAATGAAAGAAAAATGGAATACTTTTTTTGTATTAGCTATATATCTTGTTAATAGAATTTTTAACGTTCAGTGACTATTAAATAGTATTCACAATCACATTTTCTTATATCCATTTCTCTCTCTTTTTAAAGCAAATGGAGTTTTTTTGTTTGTTTTTTGGGGGGAATGTAGGAACCAGGGAACAGTTAGGTTTATTTATTTGTTTATTTAATGGAGGTAGTGGGGATTGAACCCAGAACCTTGTACATGCTGGGCATGCGCTCTGCCACTGAGCTATACCCTTCCCCCGTCCATTTCTTTATTTGTTCAGTTTCTCCATAATGACACCTGTACCAGGAATCTTAAGCTCACATTTATGAAATACTTTAATAGCTAGGAGTGATCAATGTGGACATACTTTATGTAAAATGTGGTTATTCCTAAAGAAAATTAGGCTACAGATTGAATTCTTAAAGGGTTAAGGGGAACGGAGGAGGAGGAATATCGGTGTATATATTGTATATATATTGGTGTGTATATTCACAGACGTGAAAGCCGAATAAGAACATGGTGATCAGCTAGTCCAGCACCACCATGGCCGAGAGAGGTGACCCAAGGTCACACAATTGTCCAGTTGTCAAGTGCTCTTTCCACTGTCCTGTTTTCTTTGTTTGAAAGCCTGAGGCCAATCCAAAAGCAATACAGCAAGTGCTGAAGTGCTTGTTGGAATCAATATTTCTTGGGAAATGCACTTCCAGTTGGCCACACTCTCCATCAGGCACTTGGCTTTTTTGCTCAAATAGTCCATGTAAAACGCCCCTTAAGAAAGCCCGGGGTCTCAGTCCTAACCCCCCAGCTACAATTCTGTTTCCTGGTTCTTGCTCTGGACATGAGTATGTTGATTTCTTATTTGAGCAACATCTGGGACATAAAACAAACAAGCATTTCCATTATTCACCCCACGTAAATAATCAGTTGCTCAAGCCTGCCCTGGGTAGCAGGGCCATGTACAGCACGCCAGCTCCCGAGTCCGTCATTATCTCAGTGTCACCTTCTGTGGTGCCTGGAGTCCTATTAGGCCCTTCATCATTTCCTCTGTCACCCTTTGGTACTTCTAGTCTTTTCTCTTTCCCTCGCTGGTTAAGACAGATGCTAATGTGTCAGTGAGATTTTGAAACCAACACTTTTCATAGCAGTGGTCTGAGCTAATGGTGTTTTTCATCTCAAATATTTTATAAACATTAATTAAGCTTCTAGCTCCCAGCTAGGCTCAGGCCAAAAAGAATGCTTCTGGAGAGTTTCTGCTTTTCCCTCAAGCTGCAGAAAGTCCTCAGCGAAACAGAAGCCCTGGGCGCTAGAGCCTTGCAGCCTTTTTCTTGAAAGAAGCTTTCATATATCCCTTTAGCACTTTTGTGATGCTTAGGAAATTCAGTCTTGTAATGCTTTATCAAACGAAACCCGTTGGAATGCTTTATTAAATGAAGTCTGGCTAGTTTAAACCATCTGTCAGAAAGTAGTTTTTGTTATGGAGAAGTATGCACTCATTGAGTTAGTGCAGCAGGAAAGCAGAGCAAACCCAACCTAAATCAGTTCAATGAGACAATGCTTATTTCTCAATAGGAAAGGGGGGGGAAACCCTGGCAGGTGTGAATGAGAAGGAAGGATATGCGAGAACAGGAGGTCCTTAAAAGCATTCTTTCATTTCCTCGTGCTGGTGCACAAGTTCAAACAGAAGCTTTAGAAGAAACACCTGAAAAAAACAGTAAATCTCTGTAATCAAAATGCACAAACACAGGCATGATGCAAGGGTGACATTCATTCATGGCCATTTTCATCAAAACCAATGATTTTCAACCAGGTATGTGATTTTGCTCCCAGGGGACACTTGACAATGTCTGGAGACACTTATGGTTGCCATCACTCAAGGGGCAGGTGAAGTGTTCCTGGCATCTAGTACAGAGAAGTGAGGGACGCTACTATAAACGTCCTCCGATGCGAGTGGCAGCTCCCATCGCAGATAATGATCCAGCCCCAGATAGCAACAGTGCCGAGGCTGAAGAACTGCTAAATCATCACCTTGGTGGAGAGGTAGCTCCAGTCTCCAAATCCAGTTGGAGTTCGTGATATGCTGTTGATAAGGTTGACCTCAACCTCCCATACTCAACTCTAAGCAGGCTCAACATGGCGGTCTTTCCCACTGCTCCCTCTAGGATACCTTCATTGAGCCTGGGAACCCAGTCTGTGCACAGAGGCTAAACTCTTAACATGTTCCTAGCTGCGACACAGTTGATTTTCTCAGAAGGTAATTGCTCTGGTTTATTTTGAAGTGATCCACGCTCCTTTTAACTAGGAAAACATATGCACATTTCTACTCAGATATATCGGCCAGTTCCTGTTGTTTGAGTAGAAGCAATGTCAAATGCCAGATCAAGGCAAGACCCCTCTGATGAAACCCCTACAGCATATCGTGTCAACTCTTCTGTGCTAAATAACATCGAGAAAGGGGAGGCTTTTAGTTCTTCTTTTGCTCCTTTGTCACAGTCATCTGTTGACCTGCTTCTGGCATTCTGCTTAGACAGTCATGTGTTTCTTTAGCAAATGCAGTCAGGAGAGAAAAGGGGCACAATGGGGAAAGATAAGAAATAGTTTATGAATTAAACGGTGGGAGCATAGTACCTCCCTTTTTTATTTTCAAATTTTTACTACGAAGCAGGAATAATGAGATGGTAACTTCAACCAGAATTATATTCAAGTTAAAAAAGATCTAGGAAGCAGCCCAGTTTTTATCGCTATTGCCTGTTTTATTCTATTACCATCAAGACTTAGTACACTACTCGTGTTGATTAAAAAAGAAAAAAGACTTAGTGCACTACCGAAAATACAGAGACAACTAGAACAGTATTCCAGTCCTCGAGTTCATCTGAGCAGGAAGACAGGTGATAGAACAGCTCTCTGAGGCAGTAAGTAGAAGAGGGACGGGGGGAAGGAAATGGGGAGATGGTGCTTTGTAGTTACAGAGTCCCTGGGGTGGTTAAAACATTTTGGAAACAGATAATGGTGATGACTGCACAGCCTTTTGAATGTAATTAATGCCTCTAAGTTTTACACTTCAAAAATGGTTAAAATTGCAAATGTCATGTTACACATATTTTGCTACAATAAAAAACCATCAGTGACGTGACAACCATTATAGATGAGATATTCATAAAAGATCTTGAGAGTAAACAGAAGAAATGATCATTTTAAAACAATTTATTGAGTTCATACTTGTTCTTAGGTACTTTTCTAGGCACTTGATAGTCAGTGTCTCAGTCTGGGTCCTCCAAGAAGCAGATGCCAAGGTGAAATTAGGAATTAAATGTACAAGAGACATGCTGGGGAAACACCTGTGCAGGAGAAAGCGGACGAGGCAGGAGGGGACAGGGAGAGTCTTCTGGACACAGTGCGGGTCTGACACCGGTGAGAGGAGGAAGGGAAGGGAGGAGGAGGATTGGGGAGGGAGACCTCACATGGCCGGGCTGGTCCAAGAATGCTTTGGCCAGATGGGTGGGAAGCCTTTAAGCCCATCTCCTGTTAGGAGTCTCTCATCCCCCAGCAATGCATTTTCTTTTTTTTAACAATGTTGTATTAATTTCTGGTATACAGCACAGTGATTCTGTTATACACATAAATATGTTCATATTCTTTTTCAAGCCATTGAATATAGTTCCCTGTGCTATATAGTAGGACCTTGTTGTTTAGCTATTCTGTACATAGTAGTTTGTATCAGCCAATCCCAAACTCCTGATTTATCCCTCCTCTCCCCCTTTCCCCTCTGGTGTCCATAAGTTTGTTTTCTATGTCTGTGAGTCTCTGTTTTGTAAATAAGTTCATTTGTGTCACTTTTTTAGATTCCACATATAAGTGATATCATATATTTGTCTTTCTCTGACTTCCTTCACTTAGTATGATAATCTCTAGGTCCATCCATGTTGCCTCCCTAAGAGGTAAGTACTATTAATGTCATCCTCATGTTGTGGATAAAGAAATTAAGGCACAGAGATATTAAATAAGTTGCCCAAAGTCAAGGAGTTGTGGTCACAGCTGGGCTTTGCATCTGCAAACCTAGATCTAGAATCATGCTTTAAATATGACGACGTGCTGCCTCCACCCACCCAGGAACAGATTTGGCAGTATTTGCGGGGATATTTGAAGGGCCAGACGGCCGTAGTCAGAAGTGAAGGGAGAGGAGAGGAGAGGAAGCAGAAGACCTTAGGAATGTAGGTTCAGGTAAGTCCGTTTCAGTATGAGAAGTCCAGTTGTACAGCGTGATGCTGTGTTGGAAGCCTTCTAAATGGTGTCTTTATTTTGCATGGACTCATTTTCATTTATTATCAGATACTAATTATATCCTCAGTGAAACTCATCTGAAAGCCACTTTTCCATTCCTCTTATAAAGGACTTAGTCCCAAATACACAAATTGATCAGCTAGTGTATTCTTCTCGCCAGGTAACTTCAGAATCAGGTAACGTAACTCACAAAAAGAGCCTCTGCAACAGATTCCTTAAAAAACTAAAAATAGACTTATGATATGATCTAGCAATCCCACTCCTGGGCATATAGCTGGAGGAAACTCTAATTCCAAAAGATACATGCACTATACTTCAATGTTTGAAAAAAACTGTCAAGTGCTAAACAAATGTAAGAACTATAAATCAGTGTGCAGTCCTAGGCTGGATTTCAGGGCTCCTTCCTCGTCAGTGAATGACAGTGAACACAGTGGCCTCCAAGTTGGGAAGTAGGAAGACAAATGCTCTTGACCCAGGTCTGTGGTTCCTTTTCTTTGTACAGTTGCCCCTTGAACAACATGGGTTTGACCACCGTGGGTCCACTTACATGCAGATCTTTTTCAGTAGTAATTACTATACCACTGCACGATCTGCACACAGTGGGTTGAATCCGAAGATACGGCATGGCAAACGCAGAGGAACCGTGCTTCTGGAGGGCAGACTACACGCGTGGGGTTTTTGACTGCGCAGAGGGTTGGTGCCCTTAACCCCTGCTCTGTTCGAGGATCAACTGTATTTCATGAGTTTTATAGCAAGAGATTTCTAAGTTAATGAATA